CTTGAAAGCAAGAATGCTGCTGAATATGGACAGACTTTGGGAACCCCAGCCGATTCTATGTTGGCTGTAACTACAGTTAAACTTTATGGGACCAACTACTTGGCATGGTCGCAATCAGTGAAAATCCATATTTGTAGCAGAGGGAAATGGGGTTTTATTTCTGGGAGCAAGAAAGCTCCTCTAGAGGATGATCCATTTTATGAGAGATGGATGCAAGAAAACTACACAGTGATTGGGTGGCTTGTGAATTCAATGCAGCCATAGATTAGTCAACACTATCCTTGGATGAACTTAGCTAAGGAAATCTGGGATAGTGTTGCAGAAACTTACTCCCAAAAGTTGAATGTTGCCAGAGCCTACAAACTGAGGAGTGATGTGAAGAATCTAAGGCAGGGGGAGAAGTCACTTGTAGCATACTTCTCAATCCTGAAATCTCTATGGCAAAAGATTGATTTGATAGAGGCTGTGACATGGGATACCCCTAATGATGCTGAAACATACAGGAAATTAATTGAAAGGAACAGGGTCTTTGAGTTCTTGACAGGGCTGAATTCTGAATATGACATCACAAAGCATAACATTTTGTCCAAGGAAGATGTTTCATTGTCTCAAGCATATGCTTTGGTTAGCAGTGAAGAGAGTAGGAGGCAGGTGCAGGTTCAAGGAGTCAGCATCAATGATCATTTTGCAAATATGGGAATTAAACCCAAAGGGATTATAGGAGTTCCCAGTGGCACAGGAAAGGAGGTGGTGTGTGAATATAGCAAGAAGCCGAAACACACCAAGGACAAGTGCTGGAAATTGCATCCCAGTCTTGTCCCTATTCGATTCCAGAAGATGAATGATAGTAGAAAGACAAGAAGTGCACATGCAGCCACAAGTACAGATACAGAGGTTGAGTCTGCCAGTACACAATTGGCAGCCATGAAAGCTGAATATGAGAAGTTTGGAAAGATCATCAGCCAGTTTGAAGGTGTAACTTCATCATCCAACCCTTCTGGAAGTTCAGCCACCACCGCATTTGCTCACTCAGGTATAAGAGCTTCTGCTAACCATGCATCCAACTCAGGTAATCCCAAGACCCCTTGGATCATAGACTCAGGTGCTTCTGATCACATGACCAATCTTTCCACTTTGCTTGTTTCATATGATTTGATTCTTGGTCGTGAAAAAATCACCTTAGCTGATGGTTCTCTTGCCCCTATTTCTGGCAAGGGAACTGTCAAGCCTACAGACTCCTTACTCTTATCTTCCACTCTTCATGTACCTAAATTGAATACAAATTTATTATCTGTAAGTAGCTTGACCAAG